TTGAAGCAGAAGAACGATGTGAAGACACGTGTTGAATTGTACTTCATTGCCAGTGAAACCTCAAACTCAAACTTGGGTAATTAAACCCAAAACGCAATATTAATACATGAAATAAGCGCAGAAAACCCAAACACATAAATCCAAAGGAAGAAGAAGGAATGAATGAGGATATGATATATAGGCAAAGTATACGTGCATATCATAACGCGGGAAAATAAGGAGAGATATTGGAGGATGTAAGAGCAAGGGAGATCATGTAATACAATAATTGGAGACAAGGATGGGAAACGCATATGCAAGTACAAAATGAATCATTTGACTGTACTATTGGATTAAACGGGCACATCATGACGCGCATGAACATGTATTAAGACAGAGTAATATTACAACTATGAATATATATGTATATATAAAATAACACTTGACTATTTATAATATTCTTGGAATTTTACGACTTTCGCAACACCTACTGGTATTCACTGCTTCCCAATCTAGTGGGTACGAATAGATGAGCCCAGGGTCAGAACAATGTCATTTTAGGAAAGGAAGAAGCAAAGAGGGCAAAGAGCTTTGTGAGATTACTTGTTAGCTATATTGGTTCACACATAAGAGACAAAAAACATTTAAAAGAGCAAAGACGTTATAAAGCAATCTCTTAAAGAATTAAAGCAACACAATGAGGTTATATGACAAGAAATTAAAGTAAGCAACGATTGACATTGACAATTGAAATATAGCTTGAAATATAACAAAGACAAATTGCGAAATACAGCTTCCTAAATTTGTCAGTGGTACAAATCTCAACTAATGTGATTAATTTAATATCATAAGTTTTCGGATTTTCCGACACTAGCTGTATGTCTAAATCTCGGTAATGTAACTGTAATTCATAACAGATTTAAAATAATAACTTAGAATCGATGCTTCAAAGTATTTTTTAGGTAGTCATTTTTTCAAGTGCTCAATAAAAAATAGTTAAGAATACCATAAAATAAATGAAAATCTTCTTGAATAACACACATTATTGCTGATTAAAACTGATAAAAGTTATCACGTTGATCGCGTTGATCAGTCTGAAGTCTAATTTTTTGTCACTCTTATGCTACCTCGCAATTATACTTGTTATTTGTACTTAATAAAATTGCATGGGAAATGTATTTTCATTTGATTGTGTATTATAATGATTTTTAATGCCATCACTCTCAGCTGCCAAATTTATCGATAATTTATTGAATCATATTTTTTATCAGCCGGGTGGATGGCTTATTAGTAACATATAATTAATTAGAAGAGGAAATTGTTTTACCTCAAATCACTTTAAAATAAATTTTTAACGTTTGAAAGTTAGATATTTTCCACTCAGAAATTTAAATTTGAAAATTGAATAATTCAAGCCAAGCTTTAAGAATAAAATACCTAACATAGCTCACCTTCTAATGTTAAAGATGCAATGACATGATATTAAGCAATGAAATTTATGAGATTCAGAAAAGAATTTATGAAATATGTGCCTTATTTCCGAGATGTTCCTTTAACTAACTTTCATTCTGCGCTTCCACCGCTCTATTTGATATCAGGAGAAAATGATTAAAATGTTTTTAAGCAAAAACGAACTGTAATCATTGAGTGATTTTTTTTTGTCGCTCGAATTTAATTGTATTTTGAATAATTGGTAATTATTTTTTATAAGTTTTCATTTATCGTTTCTGCTTCAACATTTTTCCATTGGTTTTAATTGAAACAACACATTCAACTCTCGATAATTCTGACATCACTAGGAAAATTAGAAATTTATGGCGATATTTATTAATGAATATCAAAACATTCATCATTTATCCATTACAAATCATTAATATTTTATACGACTGACATTTTTTTGAATGCTTGGACTGGATTAGAATTCTGATCAAGTTGAAAATTTGAAAGCTTAAATAGTTTTTGATATTTGTGTAGAGAATAAAAATTTCCTCAGTTACATTTACTTTAATTATCACTTATGAACTTTTGCAATTTATGATATCACAGTTTTGCGTTTAGCAGCAGCAATCCTGAAATACATTATCTGGTATTAACTTGCATTTTATGAGTTAATTATCGAAGAATAGTTTCAAAAGAATTTAACTTTCTTTTTCAATATATTCGGCTTTCAGAATTTTCAATACAATTTCATAAATTGTGAAATTTAGTAATTTTATAGCAAATAATGAGTACGTGGATATAATTCATTCAAACTCAATCATAAATAACTTCTGAAAGCCAATACATTGATAAATTAATTGGATTTTCAAGAAAAAGAATGTCTTTAAATTGGATTATTTATGATGTTCAAAATTTGAATCAAAAAGTTATATGATGATTTCGTCCAAATTAATGCTAATGATTCATATATACATGAATGACTTTTTATAGAAAATGCTGAAAACAAATTTTAGAGCTATCAAAAATTAGACGCATCAATCGATATCATACCTTAATTATCTTCTTGATTGGTACAGTATCGCTAGCATGCCTTCGACCACTCTTCTGAAACTACTATTGAGTTTTATAAATTAATTGGATTTTCACGGATGAATATGGCAAATTAAAATCATATTAACGATTCAGACTACAAAAAGACGTAGAGCGTTGTGTGAAAAACACTGAAAATAAATTTTAGGGCTATTAGCCACATCAATTAATGATGCCACACCTTAACCGTCTTTTCAATCGGTGCACCATCGGTAGTATGCCTGCGGCTACTCTTCTGAAATCATTATTGAGCTTTACAAATCAATTGGATTTTCAAGGAAACCTCCGGTTGAATTATTTATGGTATTTAAAATTCAAATTAAAAACTAATTACACAAAATTCGATATGCGGATGATTTTATAAGTGAAAATGATTTTGTGAAAAATATGGAAATAAATTCATGTACCGGCGAGCGTTTTTCACGTAGCAAACGTCCTCTTAAAAGTTCCATAATTTCTCGCTTTTTACGTCCACTACCACCACCGCATCCTTCGCCGCCACCACCTCCACCGCAACCACAACCACAGCCACAACCACAACCACAACCACAACTGCTGCATCCGCAGCACGACTGGCAGCACTGTTGGCAACATGTTCTGCAGCACCTGAGAATGAGCTTCTTTCAGATTATTTCATTCAGAATCTTTGTTATTATTAGCTACCCTCTCTTCTTTTTCCTTAATTTCGGAACTTAAAAAGAGCAACGGAAATTTTAACAAAAATTCAAAAGATTGGAGCAATCACACAATATCAAAGTGCAAATTTGTTTCAGAAGCTTTAAGCAAACCCAGAAGGCGATGTTAGTTGCTTGAGTTTGCCAAATTTGTAGTGATTGTGGAGCCTTGATTTGATGATTACGGATTAGCAAAGTATTAGATCGCAGAAATCACGAGGTTATTTTTCTGCGATTGCATATTTTAATATGTTTTGCATGTTAAAAAGATTATGATTAGAAATCTAAAATAAAAACAAACGTTGTAGTTGTGGTGCAAGTGGTACATGTACTGCTACAACATGATTTCTGACAACAACTGCATCCTCCTCCGCATCCACAACCACCGCAACTTCCTCCATCTCCACAACTTCGCCTCATTCGTCCAACTCCATCTGAACTATGCTCCACTTCATGTTTTGGTTTCGAATCAGAAGTTGGAATCAAAGAATCATGTTGAGGTTCAGATTCCGCATTCGCAAATCTAGGAGCATCATATAGCACATTCACAATTTCACCATCCACTTCCCCATATGGAGTAGGTGCGTGATCATTCTTAGATCTTGTCGCACTTGTTGCTTTAGCTTTTGATGGGTAGACATTGATGGAGATGCTTAAGAATAGAATGAATACAAAGCGATACCGCATTCTGGACAACACAATTGTACTTTTATTAATTTGTTTCCTTCTGAAAACGAACTTTTAGATGAAATCATCTCAAAAGAAAAAATCAAAAATATAGACAATAATTAGTGAATGTGGAAATTTGATGACGATAAAAGTTGCAGTTTAGCTTGAATGACTTTAACTGTTTTTGTTAGTTCCTTTTATATGGAGTGTTTTAATTGAGCTCATTTCATGCTTTTACCGCTACTAATTTTAATGTGCTTTGGTAAAATAAGCCAGTCTGAAATCTTACATTATGCCTATTTAATTATCTCCATTTAGGACGTAAGATGGATGATGCGACAAAGATCTGGATTTGGTATTCAGTGTTGTTGTTGTTGTTATTGTTATCATCGCTATCCATTATTTGTTATTTTCATTGTAGCCATTATTTATTTATTTTGCAGTGAGATAAACAGATAAAGACGTTGATCTTTTGAAAGGATGAACAAACAAGTTCATGGAATTAAATTATATAATAGCAGGACAAAAATCCATTAACTAAAATTTCCATCTCCTTTCAGTTCTTTAATTGTGCAGATATTAATGGTGATAGGTGATAATAAACGCTTCATATTAATATCCAGTTTCTTTTTAGTTAAAATCAATTAAAATTTGAATGGAAAAATATTAAAAACTCTGCAAACAAGATTAAGAAAATATTATTTTATAATTTCCTTTTACAAATGTTATCATTAAAAAAGAATAAAATATTGCATCTTTTCAAATATCATTCGCAATATTGTCAGAAGATGGGACTTAGTTAGCTGTAATAGTCTGAATAAAAATTTTGAAACAAGAAACTATCAGCATGTATTAACCAATTCCTAATAAAAAATTATATTTGGTGTCAAAGTAAATATTGCTATTAGCATAATTGCTAATTTAAGGCCTATTTGATGAAAAAGGGAAGAACGAGGATTACTTCTGAACTTCTTTATTATATTTCACTCTTTTGCTCTGATCCTATAACTTTAAAACCGTGTATTTTCTTTCAGCTTAAAATCCGAAACCTAAAATTTAAATTGCTGAATTAAATTCGTTAACCATGTTTGTTTATATGATTTTCATGCACTATTTTATATAAATCAGATTTATTTGCAGTAGTGAAATTGGCTTAAATTCAATTCCAGTCTCAACGAGTAAACACTCATTTTTTAAATAAAATAAGAGGAATGAATAATTGTCTACAGAAGTTTTTGCAGAAATCTCAAAATCAAAGAATTTAAAATTTATATGAATTTCATAAAAGTGTTATACATTACCAATTTATTTTCAAAAACAATATATATAAATCAATAAAAATTCAATAATGTTCAATTTAAATTAAAAGTGATTTTTTAAAAGATACTTTTGCAAAGGTTCATTTGATTAAAAGTTTGTCGAACTTTTGCTTCTTTCCTTAAATAAAAAGCTATAAATTAAAGCTCACTCTTGCTTTAGATAAAAGCCGCTTAATTCAGTTTGAAGGATTAATAGATTAGATGATAAAAGTCCATTTAGCTCTTATCAATGTTTGGCATTTTTCGTATCAATTTGCTGATGCATTGAAACTGTTCAAGTGTTGTTTAATTTTCTTTAAACTTTATTGCAGTTTGTTAACCTTTGTCGAATATTTTATTCTTGAGGAAATTAAATGCATTATACTATCAGAATACATGAAATACCAGGTGGAAAAACATATATTTAAAGAAAGATGTAAGAAAGCAGTATATAATTGATTGAATTGCGCGTTATCATATCAAAAGCATTTGAATACATTCATTATCGTCGAGTTCATTGTTGGATAATTGGTGATTATCATTAGATGACAATGCTGGCAGGCAAATATTTGTGAAATTCAAACACTATTAGTACAGCAGACATAGGAATGAGTTTTTTTGTTATTTCAATGGAAGGAGTAAAAATTCATTTTTCATGATAGCAACTAATTTCATTCCAAATTATAGCGAAGTTATTTTTTTTGAACGAAAGTTTCAAAAGTTTTAAAGTATGTTTCATTGGTGTTGATTTTTTAATAAATTAAATTAGTTCCAAAAGAGCTCTACGAACATTTTGTTTTGTATTTTGCATATAATTCCATCTTTCAAGATCGTGAAGAGCACGACGACGTCTTGATAGTGATCCTTGACCAATTTCTGTTCCATTAACTGATCGCTTTCTCTTTTTGCCACAACAGCAGCAACTTAAATATAATATTGATATCAATAACTTTTTACTATTTGTTTACTAGAATTTTAATGTTTGAACTTGTGAAAGATAGTTGAAAGTACAAAGTTTTTTGGTTTACCAGAACATTCAATATTATATGATTTCCATATTGGCAAGAGCTCACTGATTCCATTTATATTGTAATTTGTACTCTAATTGATGAAATGTTAAGCTAAACTGATTAATTGGTGAAATATTAGGCCAAAACCTAATTATATATGACAGCAATAATAATAATTATTATTCTCAGTTAATTTTAGCTGTTTTCCTATAATTTCAAAAATTTTAATCTTCAATAGAACGCATTACATTATCGTTAAATTAATTTCTCAAGTCTCTATTATAAAATTTAATGAAAATGAAATATTGAAAACATGCCAGCAACAGCAGCAGCAACAGCAACCGCAACAACTACGTTTGGAACGTGCCAAAGCAGTAATGTTTGTGACACTGATACCATCCACTATTGCATCATCGGAAAGCAGATCAAATTCTTTGTTTAAAAAAATACTATTATCCATTAAAAATGGATCATATTTTTTACTCATTGGAATAGCATAGCAAATTGCTATTGCTAAAAGAAGCACGAGAAGCAGTTGTTGACAGCGCCATGAAAGTTTATTCATCCGTAATGATGGCATCATTTTTTTGTTTTTTTGTTTTTAATTGGTGATTTCTGAAAATAAATATGTAATAATAACTGATAATAAAATTTGTTCAAATAAGAATTTTTTTCTCATTAAGAAATAAATCATCGTTATACATAATAAATTAATTTTTTAAAGAAGAAAAAAAATTAATTGGGATAAAAATAAGGAATGAAGTTGACAAATTTTAAAACTCATTAATTAAGCTTTCCACTACAATTTTTATTTGAAAATTTCACCAATCATATACAGTATAATAATTAATAACACAACTCGTTCTTTCGAACTATTTTTCTCTCTCGCTTTTTCGTTCATACATGATATTTTCTCTTTTAATGATAGAGAAATTGCTAATTTTCGTTGTTACAACCATGTGTTTTGCAATCCTGTTTGTTTACTGATTGGAATATTTGATGTACATGGAAATAGACAAATTATCCAAAATATTTTCTATTTGAAAAGTAGAATCTGTTGATATTTTTATCAAATTAAGTTCCGTCTACCCCATTGCCGTAATGTTCTCTGTTTGGTATCAATTTAAATGCCATCAGCCTTTTGACATTTTGTGTAAAAATATTTGAACAAATAAAGTTGTCCCAATATGAATGTTGAAGAATTAGTTAAAATCGTTAGTGGAAAATTTAACTAAATTATTTCAAAATATGCAAAAAAAAATTTTAAGGCGATAAAACAACAATAGGAGCAATTGCATTTAATTATTCTTTTTTTTCAGTCCAATTTCATTTTTGTTAAAAGTGACAAAATAAATTAAAATAATTTAACTAAATTTTTTGCCAGCAACTTTAACTAATTCTCCAGAATTGTTGTTTTGTGTATAAAAAGTTCAAATGTAAATGGAAATAAATTCATCACATATTTATTACACCATGACAATGTTTCAAATCATTAATCGACCGTATTGTCAGCATTCAAAACAATAAGGGTTACTCAATAAAGTAAATAAATAGTATCAATAAAATGAAAATTAAATCGATCGAATTCATTATAATTCAGTTATATTTAATTAAATGCGCACCCTAACTGATGTATTTGAGATAGGAAAAGAACCAAAAATTAGATTTCATTAGGTTGCTAATGGAAAAGCGATTCATTTGCCTTAATTTATAAAGCCGTTTTCGAAGAAAATATTTAAAATTTTTTCCTGATTAAATAAGAGATGGAAATGAAATAAATTCATTTGAACCAATCAGCAAACGCTATTACAAATCGTCCGTAAAGTAAAAAATAATATTTTGAATAGTGTAATAAAATATCATTTCAGGCATTTTTTCTTCTTATTTATGTTGAAAAATTTCAATTCTGCAAAGTAAAAAAAATAAGTGTAATAAATAAGTTCGCTTCATACCGGTACCAGCAAAAATAATCTTATAAGAATGAAGAAAAATTCAAAGACTTTTCGACGGGTAAAGATTTAGCACATTAAACAGTAACTGACAAATTAATTTAATACAATAAATGTAATCCGTTAGCTGAAATTTCATATCTCGTTTATCATCCGAAAATTTATTTGAATATTGAATTTTATCAAACTCCAATTGATTAATCAACATTTAAGCATATGCATCTAATCATTTATCTTATGGAAATGTAAGATATAGAACGTTAATTCACTAAATGAAATTAAACAGGAATTTTTTATGCTTATTTTAAGTATAATTTATAATAACCCATTTCTTTAGTCATGACCTGTTTGTAGAGAAATGAAAAAAGTTCAAATTTTGCTTAAACAAAATGATTTTTGTAATAATAACATTTATTATTTATTGCTCAAACATCCATTACTCTTGTGAAATGGAAAAATGACAGTAACAGCAAAATATTTGATAAAATTAAACGAGAATTTTTGTAAAAATTTTTGTAAAAATAAATAAGCCGTTTTCTTACTTGTATTTATCAAGTTTACTTCCTCGTTTTCACAATTTCCATCTCCTCTTTTATAAACTAACTTCCATAAAAAAGTTGTAGAATTAAAATCTAGAGAAGCAAAAAAATTGGTATTTGAATTTAGTATGTGTAAAAAGTAAAAAAAAAATCAAAATTGAAAGATACTTCCTTTACAGCTAAATTATCTTTCCTTATTTTAATTTATAGGCATTTTTTTTTTCAATTTATGCTTAATCAGTCACTTCTAGCAATTTTCATTCAGAAAAGCAACAATGTTAAACCGCTGAAGCATCGATTATATTATCATAAATTTCACAAATGCATGTTTAAATATTCTGATATCAATTTTAAATATACACAGTCCATTTCTTTCACTCGCAATGAATAGATATTATATTTGTCCACTTAGATATTATGCTAAACTGCTGGCTCTATGTGTACAAAGTTGATGTGACAATGCCCATTAGGATATTATCTCTCTTTGTTCATTTAATAACTTTCTCAAATAATATGACCTAGCAAGAAATTTCAGTTACAGAAGAATGCATGCTCAGAGATGAAGAGCAAAATTGAATGGGTGAAATGAACATGTATTTTTATTATTCATGCATTTTTATTTCTTTTGCATATTTTAGGTGTTATTGAAAACGTTGAAAATTGATAATGCGTATGTGAAAGCTGTCAAATTGAGGAGATAAAATACCTGCTAGAATGATACCCATCTCCAAATTCAAAATGCGTCCCACCATTTCTATCATTCCAATAGCTTCTTAACAATAACTATTATTACTTTGCATCTCTAATGCGAGATATTTCTGCTCGATTGGAATTAGCTGAATGATTTTCTATGCTTCATTTAAATTCGATACAATCGCACCACATAAAATGCAAATCCTTTAGCATAAATAAAATTTCTTTGGAAGCATTTGGGAAAGAAGAATTGGAAAAACATGCAATGCATAAGTTTACTTCAAGATTTTTATGCTATCAAAAGGAAACTCTGCTATTAAAAAAAATCGTTTTAATTTGCAGTGAGTGATATCGTTAAAATGGAATTATTCAACCTTATGGTCAAGATAGTGTTAGTAAACTTATCCCTCTTATTACAGCAATTAAAAAATAAAGAAAATAAGTACATCAAGTTCTTAAATAAAATGAAAAAGTAAGCGCACAAAATTCCGTGTATTCAAGAAATGATATATCTTTGCAGAAAATAACATATCGCTATCTCTCATTTTTATGAGCAAACGAGGCATTTTACAGACTATAAATTTCACAATTCTCCATTTACTATCAGCATTTTATATTAAAATACTTGCTCCCTTTATGAAATCAAACTTCATTGACAAATTACACTGCCGAGACAGCAATGCTCCTACAGAACAAATATACCTAATGTAACTTGGAAACTGATTTAGATGAAAATATTTTTATTTAAGCCAGTAAAAACTTGGACTTCATAACTAGCAATCATATTTTAAACACAAGTTGTAAAGAGAATGTCAGAAGGAATAGAAAGTTTGCTTACATTTAAATATTGCTTCGAAGACAAGCATCCGTTTCATTTATGAATTTGCAAATCTAAGCTTTTAAATCGAAAAAAAAATCATAAAAAAGTTTTACTGCCTGATATGTTACACTTTTTAAATAAATGGCGAGAAATTTTGGAGCACACTTTTTCCACTGTGTGTCAGTCAGTATGTCAACAACAAAAAACAATTCACGATTTTCAAAATTTATTTTCGGCGCAATTACAAATCCATCTATAGCATGCAAAAAGCTACTTCAAGAGAAAAAAGAAACTATCTACTGATAGTTTAGAACCATGAGATGAATGTTGACATCATATAAAAAATCATACCAATAAATATCAAAAGTGCAAATTTAAAAAATAAGATTATTCTGAACATGTAAATATTGCAAAATCTCTTTGGAATTTCTCGAAATATTTTACCATTCACTTTCAGCAATAACATTTCTTCTTAACCAATACTTCCTATAAATGAATTCGACATTATTTTAAGATAAAATAAAGCAACAACTTTTGAAATCAACAAAAGACGTTAAAACACGAATTTTAGAAGCTTCAAATAAGAAATTATACAAAATTCGAATAGGTCACATGTCAAACATATTTTCAAATTTTTTTAACAATATAAAATATTTTAATTTTAATTTAAACCCAGTTTAATCATACAGACTCACGCGTATAATTAATATTTTGGTGCCTTTACTAACCTCGCCATTCGGTAACGGTGAAATAAGTATTTCTGCACTACAATAATCCCTTACAATTTCTTTCCACGCCTTTCGATAATTCTCATCATCTTCTGGTTTTATTGGAGTGCCATACAATGACCCGACAATTTGTGGCAATGCTGACAGCTGAAACACACATTACGTAAGAGCTTTTTTTTCTTTTTTTCTCACATACTGGACATCTACTCAACATTTGATAATTTTAGCACCCCAAACATTTAACTACTGGCGCTATGATTTGCAAATGAGAGATCTCGGGAATAAAAAAGTCTATAACGGCAGAAAATTATGCGCGTAATTTTTATTAAAATTTTACATAGCACAGCACTAATATACTTCACTAAAAATCACTAGAAATGCTACAATTTTTAAATGGCCAAATTTGAACAATGTGAATCTTGTATTAAAACAGATTTATTACTCCTAAAATAAATACAGATAATTACAGGAAAAATTCCAACCAAAACTGGATTTGGTGATCGTATATCCACTATTAATTCTATTACTTCTGCTAATTTTTTCAGTGGACTTTTTTTCTGAAAAATATCTAAACTTAAAAATTTACAATCGCTTTAAAAAAAACCTACTAGCAGAAATGAAATGACCACTCCATATTTCGGTATTACACTAAATTACTTCATCAAACAATTTTAACTATATTTTTTAATTCTGTGGATTTTGAGTACGAATATTTGTAAGTCACAAATACTTCGATTATTTCAAAGTTTAGAATACAGTCCCGAAAACTTCAAATAGCTCTAAATTAATGCAGATGAAAAAAAAATTACACCGTCAAATTCCCATATTAAATACCTGCAAGCTACAAGCTGAAATAATGATTACCGAATTATGACATCCCAATTCATCAAGTAAAGCTTCCAGCCAGTTTTCGTCAGTTTGTGTTTCTTTTGATAACTACAACAAACGTATTAATTAAGCTGTTAATAGACTACATCAACAAGATTTAAGAACAGATTTGAAATGAAAATGACGAAGCTAAATATAAAAATATAAACGATGGAGGAGTAATTTGGATAAGATAGAGGGTAAAATAACGAAAGAAACCAATAAATCAAGCAATAAATTTGTGTGAATGACGTGATGTATGACTAAACAAATTTATATTAACAACTGAACCTGCATAATTTGTGGATCAGAAGAAAAAAACTTGACAGACGCAGCACAATCATCTAGATAATCTTGACCATGTCTAAAAATATAAGTTTTCCTAAACATTAAGGGACTAGCACACTCAAACATCATATTTCAATCCACTAGTCGAAACTTACTCCTGCTAAACTGTATTTAAATCAATATATGAAAAACATACTGCTGAATTCGATTTGACTGAGAGGATTGCATGTGTTTTGCATTTGTTGCCCAACCATCGTCATGAGACTTATCTGCTATTATAATTAAAATATAAATTTTCCTAAAACATTGAGAGACTAGCACACTCAAATATCATATTTTAATCCACCAGTTGAAGCTTACTCCGAAATATATTCTTTTTGCTAAACTATATTTAAATAATGTATCTCAAATATCATATTTCAATCCACTAGTTTGCGATATAAATGACGAAAAGTCAGTAATAAAGTAATTCATAAGAAAAGAAAATGCTGCAGCAAACTTACTTGAAAAAGGACTTCGAACATTCTCATTTAACTTGCTGTAACTGCTAGTGTCTTCTGCTAAAACATTAAAATATACTGTTTAATCTGAGATATTAAAAGGTATTACTAAATGTGGACTTTGAAATTGTTTAAAATTTATTTCTACCAATATACTCAACAAGTTCAACAAGTACAATACGTCAGTATTTGATTTCCATGTGACCTCTCGTGATCAAACACCTTTCTATCGAATCCTTCTAATCATTACCACAAGCAAAACTTTTATTTCAAAAAAAATTTTTAAAAAAATTATAACATTATAAAATACTCATCATGAAATGTTTATCATCATTAATTTTATTAAATGGTTATCGATAACATTAAACAAATTATATGCTTAAATTAATTCTGCCTTTAAAATTGTACATCTTTAAACAACATAAGAACCAGATTCAAATTAGACTACGTCAAACAAATCACATTCTTATTTTAAATTTCTTTAAAATTTTAATCTTACCTTGACGCAAAGTGCACTGACCAGCGGCAGAATTAGGAACAGTGTATGAACCATATGGTACCTTATTCAGTTCCTGCAAAATATATCAATTTTTTAAATTCCGAATACTATCTAACAACATTCTTATCCACTGAATTATGCCAACCAAAATGATCGAAAGTCTAACAGGTTTCATGAGATTATTCTCTGATCACAAAGTATCATGATCTCTACTTCAGCTGAGTTTGCTTAGTGTGCAGTAGCGAATTGGAAAAAAAAGGTTAGGTTGGCAAAATTAAAAACCAAAAAAACAAATTCTACTGCAATTCTTTCCTCTAAAATATAAAATGTCTGCTTTAAAATACTATCAAAAATAGTAATAACAATACCACCAATATATAGTAACCTTCTAACTAGTTTGATAAATCTTCGAAAAAAAGTGAAAGGAGGAATGAAGGAAAAGAAATATAATCTTAAAAAGGATGAGTTCACTAAAATGTGAAAAGACACATACTCGAACCAAAGCGGATGAAAAGAAACGATTACTGTGCATGATGAATGAACAGAATACAAAGATAATTACAGATGCGAAACCGCACAGATATTTCGTACCACTGAAATTTACGCATACTACGTACTGTCTAAGCATAACGCTTTTTCGCAAACTGCATGCAATTATAGCTTATTCGCGATTCATGATGCCAAAAAATTTTTCCCTCTTTGCACGACATGCAAATTTTGTTGACTTCAAGCATGAAATTACATAGCCCACAAAACCATAACACACTGATGCATGTACTCAATTTATTTATTCGCTTGCACTGCATATTCGTCATACCATGTGGCTTATTTGAATTGCTCCAAAAACATTTTTTGTCCGAAAAACTTATCGAAAAGTGTTTTTGAAAAAGTGTTTCCTATCAAAAATAAATTGGTCGCAATAGGGATTTATGTCACATGTCAGAAAAAATAACAAATGAAAATGTCAACTACATTTCCACTAATGCTATTTTAGCATTAACTGAAATGTAATTGGCTCTTTTCGCGTCCCCGTAAGAAATCATTTTCAAAATTTATACAGTTCCATCCATAAATTTTTAAATTGACATGCAATAAGTGCAGTGCAAAAAAATCCCACAAATTTGAAATATAATTTTTTCCGCGATGAAAGTCAACTTCAGGAAGAATATATCTCACGGGAATGCGAAGAGGACATCCCAATGATGACACATGCTCATATTAAAATGTGCACATACGCAACAATTCTCATATACATGACTCATTTGGGAAGAAGCAGCGCAATATCGCGATACATCACACTCGGGGAGTGCAGCTACTTCTTTCGGGCCACTATTGAATCTCTCATGAATTCATATTTCGTAAGTGGAAATTTGTAGAAACAGCGACAATGGTGCAATTGTGATTTGCCAGCTAATGCTGGATCATTGAAATCAGTACAAAAAGAACTAACAAAAATGATGACACAGTGAATTTCTCGAGACTTGCAAAAGACTATCATGAAAACTTAAGAGATCGAAATCAAAAAGTAATTCTATGCATGAAAGATGAAATATTATCACTTGAATTCAAATAAAAGACTGTAATTTTAATGATCCCTTTTAAAGTTCAAAAAACTCATAAATCTCTTCACATCCGGACATGAGATCTCAGTCCAAATAGTAAATCAAGTACAATAATTATACTAAACAAATTGAAAACATTCAAAATTTTAACAGTTTTTCACATATTTCAAATTTATTCCATTTTTTTAATGTTATCCGGCCAAATTCCCAAATATTGCTTGCAGCATCTTTAAAATTTAGGTCGCATAGAGCTCAGGATCTTGACTTGATATTGCCTTAAAATCAAGATTTAGGCTATGGAACAAGAATACAGTCTTCTCCCCCATTCCTCGCTCAAACTCTATTTAATAAGAGAATACAGAAAAATGAAGCGGTTCATTATTCTTTGTTGCACAAATCGACTTTCACAAGACCGCATTGAACAAAGTCAGATTCTCAGAAGTTTTTGTTCTGTGATATTCCTCACTACACTGTTTAGTAAATACAGCTGACTGAGTAGATTTCTGAAGCATAAAACTTTCATTCATCATATCTAAATAAAAAGTAACAATTCAGCAAAACTGATTTTCTGTTAGATATCAATTATTAATCTTTAATCTTTGTTATTAAAGTCAAATTCCATTTGACAGGTTCAGTATATACCGAGTGATAATTTGCGTGTGCAATTCAGGTAAGTGCAATAATAGCTACATATATCTATTTAGTAACAAAATCTAGCCTATATTTCTGCTGGCAAATATTAAGCGAAATCCACTCAGATGTGCTCTACCAGCAAATGATCATCAAATTGATAGTGAAAACCAATCGAAAAGTACTGTTTAAATAACGAAAAAAGATGGATTGTCCGATATGCAAACGATTCTGTTAGTATGTAAAAAGTAAAAACAAAACTGACCGGAATCAATCCTGCAGAATTAAAAACAGTAGACGATGATGGGAATCGATCTTGTGAATAGCTGAATGATTGCTGCAAGGAACGTTCGGCAATTGACAAACGTTTTCCCGATTGCTGAAAAACCAAGAACTAGTTTCAAGAAAGATATGTCTTATTAAAAAATTAAAACCAGTTTCTGATCTTCAGTTTAGATAATTGAAATCATAAATGTGCTAATAGAATTCGTGAAAAATTTTCGTGTTAGCAAACCTATTCATGCTATATATTCGTTAGGCAAGTGTCAGTGTTTAGAAAATTAAAGAAAAGTGTGAATGAATGCACAATGCAAATGAAAAAAAGAAACGTATTAGCATAATTGGCATTTCTATAAGTGAAGAGGAAATAAGATCGTCAAAATAGCTTATGTATGAGAAACCAATTTTACAAGCTTAAAAAATTTGCAAGAAACTTGCTGGGAAAAGTATTTCATCCCAGAAAGGGATCATTCCAGCTCTTGAACAACAGATGCGTCAAATATGAAATTCCATTGATTTGGATTAATTTGCATTATATTGTAAATTAATATGTTTCTGCGAAAAAAAATAACACTAATCTTGTTTTCTCCATTATTAATCAATAGTGCAGACTGTTCGAAATGATTAGGATCTTTCTCTGAGTGGCTTAAGCGATTCTCAAATCCATCTAAATATGGTATTTGCATCTAAAAAGAAATAATAAAGTAAATTAACGAAATTTATTCATTTCTTACATTCCATTAAATTAATGAAATTTGTTTAAATTTATTTCTTAAATTCCATTTGTGTTGCAACATATATTCTTTTCTATCAACAATATTAAAGCTATCTAAAAGAAAATGGAAGGAGCCATAATAGCGGGAATCCTATACAAGTGCAACTGTTTTGAAATCAGTAGTAGTCTTCATTAAAACAAATTTATTGGACAATTAACAGTCTTATAAAACATTCAAAAACTTTTTATCGAGGATTTAACCTCTGAAGATGCTGAGGAAATATTGAATGTGTTCAGATTCCTCTTGAATTTTCTTCGATATTTTCTAGAAACTTCTGTTTCCGAATCACTGCTATCAGCAGATTCTTCATCGTCTGTATATTTATCCTCACTGACTGATTTCTGCAAAAATTTCTTGATTTTTATCACAATTTTTCAGCTTATCACTGCTGTTAATTAAGAGAATGAACTCCTAAAATCATAAATTAAAAACATATTTACTATAGTTGTTTCACCTATAACATGAAATCTTCTTGAGAACATATGCAAATGGAAGTAACATTGCGGCTGGTATTGAAAAGCGAAAAATTTATTAAATAGAAAAATAATGCGCAGCTCATTGGATACCTAAAGCAAGAACAGAGCAATAAGCAATGAAACGATAATACAATTTTTTTGCAAAACGAAAAAAAGAAAAAATGACTATAGTTCCACCAATTAAATGCTGCGTTCGACATTCCATTGAAGTTGGAAAGCATCAGCGTAATGAGATGCAAACATGCTTCTGCATACTTTTTCCTGAGCAACAGAAACTTATTTGCAACAAAGATTTTGACCTAAAAAACCTACTGATGATCTTCTGTGCGTTTTATCATGACTGTTTTCTTTACGTCTATTCATTTTAACCGTATGAATTGATACACTTACTATTTTAGTCAAACTGGAAGGGACCATGCCGTTAACCCTGTCAGCATTTCCAATATCATCTCTACGCTGCTTCCCATCGTTTAATTGCTTCTCTTCATCTTCCTCCACTTCTTCACCCCAATCCATTGTAGGTTTCTAAAATGTGAACTACAAAACTGATAGTTCTGTATGAATAATGCATAATGTCTACACACCCACCAAATGGGAAATAATATGACTTGGAATTGCATTACCATAGTACTTAGATTTTAATTACATCTCAATTTATCTAAACAATTAATTAAACTGCATTTCTGTATTTTTTTAATCATTATTTGAAGAGAAAATAATTACATGATGCCAACAGAATCTTAATTCATCATTTAACAGTAAACGCTTTTTTTAAAAATTCATCTTCACCATAGAACGAAAGCACTTCTCTTACCTATATATTTTATTAACAACTTTCATTCTTCCTACTTCAAATGAAATGAAAAAGTACAAGACAGAACTAAAAACATAAAAAGCCAGTCATGACTTTCTTAGAGGTAGTTTTTAATTTGATGTTTCAACTTATGGTCTTTTTGAAATTTCGGATAGTGGAAGATAAAATTTCACACGAACTTCTTTGCAACCAAGTAAAATATTTTGAATGATTTTTTAAGTTCCAATCTTGAATTAATTTTTATATTTTGTTTAGAAACGACTAACAAATGCATCCTTAATTACTACAAAACAATCCAAACACAAAACAATAGCAATTTCTCTTGGTTGGAAATAATTAAGTTCCATTTTTTTACTGCAGGAAGATATGTCGGAAAATCAGTTTAAGGGATAGATTACTGCTTACAAGATCTAGTTTACCGCTTACAAGAGAAAATTCAAATGTTGTATATGAATTAACATATATTGCAAGCGGCAGTAATAATTCTCCTATTTGGAAAGTTCTGATTAATGCGTTATAAAAAGAAAGAAAAGATATCCGCTGGCCAAAAAAAGTATACTACAGAAAAAAAATTTAAAAATAAAATTCTTCATCAGCAAAAGTTGAAAATGCTGATAAACTGCCGAATTCTTTTGAAGCAAACAAAATTATAAGTTATCACCTTCGGAACATTTTCAGTAGGAACGACAACACTTTCCGCATATTCTACAGCTCCTGAATAAGATTAGGTTTTTATGAGCTCTCTAACAGAATCGTAAAGAACAACAAGGTGTAAGACATCGTGTAAAGTTCGAGATGCAATTATATTACAATAAAATACAACAAATCCATAAAAATATCATAACTTCAAATGTAAATAAATCATATTTGATATAACAAACATTAAAAACGCTTAATCCATTCTTCAATATACACTGCGTTCTCGGTTTACTTAAATTCACCGAAATATATTTCCAACTTTCACAGTGTTTAAATCGTCATCATTTCACTAACACATTAGAAAACTTGTAAAGGAAAAAGTGAAGAAAACTAACAAACTAACTTACTTCTTTCGCGCATAAAATTTGATGTAAGTGGTCGACATTCCAAAGGAAATATTGGAAGTTCAATTTTATCGACATTCACTAACAAACGAAGATCTTCTGTTATTTCCTCGGGGACTAAAAGTCAATTTCAGTTAAAAATGTAGTAAAACCAAAATATAATAAATAGGCATCAAGTATAGGTGGTAAACGTATAAAGCAAAGAAGACTTAAATGAATTTAATCAATTTAACATTAAAATTCGTTATTTATGACTTTCGCAGTACCACTAATGGAAAATGGTATAATTCTTTGATGAGCAATTAGTAAATTAGAGAAACAAGTACAAAAAATTATCTCATAAATAGTCGATCCCCAGAAATGCACCAAAAGAATGTACCTACTTTTTACATCCGAGCTTCTCAGTTTTACTCGGATGGGGCAGCCACTAAGTAAAATAACTTCTCGGTAAAAAGCGCGCCAAAAATTTTTCAACGCCGACTTATTCATGAATAACCGTTGGTGCTCCTGAAACGAGATTCATTCAAAACTAATGTACAGAAAACTTGTGAAAAAATGCAATAAGAAAAAGTCATGATAAAATAAGTAAATAAAATTGAACGGATTTAAAAAGATCCAAATAGTTTAAGAAAATGAATCATTACTAACAGAAGCATTCAAACTAATTTTATAACGTTTCATGTATTCGTCTCGGATAACTTGATAATCAACTTCCGTCTTATCAGCTTTTAAATCCAGCAAAATCTGCAGAATCCGACGTTTTCCCTAAATTCAATATATTAGAAATGTAAATTTGATGTATGCTTGCTTAAAAAGAGAAATTCATGAGGAAATCCTCTCAGTTTATCAAATACCAATGTCGCGGTATTTGGTGCTTTCGAAAACAAATTATGCAGAAAAAGAATATCAAGTAAAGTTTAATATGTTACTGATCAGAAAAAAAGAATTAAACATAGAAAAAAGAACTGTTGGCATATCATATAAGAAAAAATTAAACTGATAAAAGTTTTCTAAACTGCAAATACATAACCTCTAAAAAATTTCGTTCGTTTTCTGGATTTTTTAGCTCCAACAATCTCTGTATTCTTCGTTTTTTAGCTCTGTAAATTTCAAATCTTAAATTCGACGATCACTACTTACATGATTTTTATTAATATAAAAATTAATATAAAAAATCTTTCAACATGCTATCCATTTTCTTGTGACATGTAAAGCACTGAATGTCAAAAGATAAATCATATTCCGAAAACTAACACGTATTGAAGCTTATTTTTCAATAGAATAATATCAAACTGGAACACATGTTAGGAGATTTCTTATATAAACAGCAAAAATTTACTTCTGATCATCATTTAATCTGCATTCCGCAACTCTTCGAAGAATATGTTCATTAGCTGGTTTAGAGACTGCCCTGTATATGGCAATACCATTAATTGATGATGTCTGTTCTACGTAATCTCTCATGTATTCTGATCTGAGCAGTTGTTCAAGATCAGGAAAACCTAATTCAATTGCTTGCTTTTCCAACAAAATCGTCCAGTCATTACTGCAAGTTAAAATAAGAGTGACAAATTGTACAGCGTTAGTCCTGACTACACCTGACTCGGTTTCGCATTAAAAAAATCATGAAAATGTAGCAAGTATAAAGAGAACATAAAGTAAGTAAGTATATTCAGTGATCTTTAAGCTTGAAACTACTCATTTACATGTCCCACTAAATTATCTTTATTTACTAGAACATTTCTGCCATTTACGTCTTTTTTTTGCGAACAGATTTGGAATGGACTAGATCAGTTTATAAACTTCCACCTGCAATAAAATTAAAGACCACAGTGAAGAACTTAACTTAAAAAAATAATTAATTACTTACAAAAAAATAGCATTTAACCGCGCAGCATTAGCACCATTATAATCGCTAGCTAATGTAGCATTAAGCATCAATCCAAGTTCATCCATCTCAAACATCACATCTTCATTTAAATAATCGGTACCTTCATCAACAATAAAGTGAACATCGTCATCATATACATCGCTTTCGCTTCCTCCAAAAGACGCGTCTGTTGCATCAAAAAACTCATCCATATTTTCACTATCTGAAAAAAATATATATAATAATAATAAATCCAGTCTGCTTTTCAATGATTTCTCAAAAGGCTGTAAAAGATTGCTCTGAATAAGAAATGATTTTCATATTATAAGTTCGGTAAATGTCTTTGTATATTCTGTTTTCTAACAAAACCTGCATATTCAAAATATTATTGTTTTGTTTCTGATTTAAATTTTAGTAATTTCACTTAGAAAAGAATAAATTGAGAAATAAAGAAAGCAATGTTTGACATAACTGCAAAATAAACTTATCTGGATAATCTAATACTGATATCACATTTCACAATCCTATTCAACTTGAAAATTAAATGAAACCATTAAGAGATCTCATTTGAAATGAATGAACAGACAAATGAAAATAACCTTATTTAGGAAGCAATTAATGCATGCAAAACTTTGTGATCACGTTATGTGTAAAGTTAAGAGTAAACGAATATTCATGAAAAAAAAGAGTAATTATAAATTATATTAACATTACCATCATCCTTTACAGCTGCTTCGTTCGTCATCTTCGAAATCGTTTCAGTTAATTGCTCAAATGATAATTCTCTTTTCACTCCGTTTTAACGAAACTGAAAAATGATAAAATATAATTACTTCAATGTATATCAATGTTTTTTTTTTTTTTTTTTAAACCAAACGTAATTAAGGAGTGCATTGTCGTACAGAAAAAGTAATCTTTTCCTTATAATATTTTTTTACTACGCATATTATGCAAAAAAATAACATCAAGTAAAGTTTAATATGTTACTCATCAGAAAAAAAAAGAACTAGAGCGTAGAAAAAAGAATTGTTGGCATATCATATAAGAAAAAATTAAACCGATAAAGTTTTCTAAACTGCAAATACATAACCTTTAAAAAATTTCGTTCGTTTTCTGGGTTTTTTAGCTCCAACAACCTTTGTATTCTTCGTCTTTCAGCTCTGTAAACGTCATATCAAAAAACAATATCCAAAAAAAGCACGTGCTAAACGTGCACGTTTACAGACTGAATCAATCATATTTGTATCATTAAGAGAAAGTGATGCGGCCGTGAAATACCAACTCCGGAAGATTCTGAGACATAAGTGGGAGAGCGGGAATGTGAGTTAATCGTATAGTAGTATTTGTCGGAAAGTATTTTTTGCCTTTCTCTACTTTGTAACATTTGGTATGTAAGCCAAATGTTTTTGTATCCGCAGATGGTTATAAATTAGCTTGGCCTGATTTGTGTAGTCACATTAAAGACTCAAATCAATAGAAAATGTGGAGAAATTATAAAACAAAATGAAGCATTACTTTATCATTTATCTTGTAAATGTTATCTTTCCATATGCCTCTTACATCTACACTCAAAATTGCAAAAATGAAAAATTAAATAATAGTGCAAACTAACTGAAATTTTCCTTACATGTATGTGACCATCAAAAATTTACCATACTATTTCATGGAAATTATAAATACATTATATTTACCCATCGTCATAATAACGATAAAGTGACAATTTTACTCAGTTATTTTAAGTTTTGTGAAAATTTTATGATTTTATGATAAAATTGAGCAAACATATAGTTTGCTTTTGGGACATTCACTATGAGTTTAATCATTCATTCTGACGAGTGATTTTTATTTTAAAAAAGAAAAAGGAAAAAAAAATGAAAAACGAAAAAGCATAGAAAATAAAAATGAACAATTGGAAATCAACAAAAAGTATATTTAAAACGAAAAAGATGAAGTATTTGATTGCTAACATATCATTGTACTTATTTTTGCATATTCGTTAAAAATTAGAATTGATAGCTCGAAGTAATGATAATATATTCATAATTTATATCCTATGTCAGGCTTTAAATAACTCTAACAATGATTACTATAATGATAACAAATTCACATCTTATGTCCTATACTGTAATCTACGCACCTGTTGTCGTGTACTGTAATCCACACACCTGTTGTTGTCCTACCCTCTAATCTGCATACATATTGTTAGTTTTGATGATTCAAAAGTTTGTTTTGATTGCAGACGTTTTAAAAATGGAATATTTGTCAGCTTTTGACACAAACATGCTATCATTCGTTTCAAATGTCCCATAATAATATTTTATGAATTACAGAAAAACGAATAAAATGATGTTTGTTTGAAGGGTTATACATTTGTTAATTGTTAGATTTTATTTATGAATTGAAATCCGAAAATATTTCCGTCTTTTCTTTTACCTCATTTTTAATCAACAAATGGCTCTAAGACGATTTTTTTTGAACGGATTACTTCCGAAAAGTGATATTTTATCTCTCTATTAATTTCAGAATGAAATTTGCAATTATTCCATTTTTACTTATTATTTCTAATTTATTTCATTATGTACGATGCCTTCAATGCTATGAAAGTGTTGGGAATATTTCCCATCTTAAGTACTGTTCCCCAAAACAAGAAAAACATGAAATGTGCTTCACGACTAAATTTGGAGGTATTTCTGTTCAGTAATTAATTCGCATTAATTATCATTGCTCCTTCAATATTCCAATTAAGCATAACTATGCTGAAAAAGACTAATTCAACTGTAATTTCACTGATAAAAAAGCATTAAACATTAAGCATGGTTTATTGTTAATGTTCAATTAAACGATCTGCCGTTAGTAAACAATTTTAATTTATTCAAATTTTGGATAACTTTGGTATATAATCCTGATTATCTGGTCAGATATTGTCAAAGCATCCTGTCATTTATCAGTTACTTCCCGATTTTGATAATAATTTTCTTACAATCCTGTCATATCTCTTTTGTTATATTTTCTATATCGTCTGGTACTTTATTTTATTTTATTTTTTTTTAAAAGCTTTGTAAATTGATAATATTGCAGCTGAAGGA